ACTCCATCATGTTGGCAGTACATACCGTCCTACACCACATGTATATATGTGTGAACTACATGGATGTTCATTCTCTGTTAAGTAATTAGACATGTGAGATATACATTATATCTGTTAAGTAATTAGACGTGTGAGATATACATTATATTCTGATTATAACCAACGAAGTGGTTGTTGTTACCATATTTTCTGTCAGAGATGCTGGAAGCTAGTCAAAATTTATTGTGATACTGGCTTCATACTAAGGCTAGTATTGTCTCCAGCAGTGTGGATAGATTTATTTCTCATTGTAGCCAAGGTCAAACATAAGGGTCCATTAAGCAGGGTCACTCTGGTCAAGGTCATTACACTAATTATATCTAAGAAAAGGTGACCTTGCTGTTTGACCTTGACAAGCGTTTTCGCACACGTATGAGATGAATGACCTTGACCAGAGTGACTGTGCTTAATGGACCCCTATGTTTGACCTTGGCTACAATGAGAAATAAATCTATCCACACTGCTGGAGACAATACAAGATTGAATCATTTAGTATCAAGCTTTGTCAGTAAAGTTTGTGACCTTGACGTCAGTATAGACGAGCTTCCCACCACAAGCTCAGTACTACCGGATGTATTACTGAATGATACCAAGTCATGCAGTCTACCGGATGTATTACTGAATGATACCAAGTCATGCAGTCTCAACTCCTTCCTTACTCTTAAGAAAATCCATCACTAAGTTTGAGTGTGAGATGTGAAATGTCAGCCTCGTGGGTTCGATATTTCAAGTCTTGCAGAATGATAATTATATAATAATATACATATAATATCTCATGCTGATTATCCAAGGACTGATGACAGAATGATAATTATATAATAATATACATATAATATCTCATGCTGATTGTCCAAGGACCGATGACAGAAAAATCTTTCATGAACAAAAATTGTGAAATGCTTTGTCCATTAGGGAGAAAGTGTGATCAGTTCCCTGCACATCAGCTTTTCCATACAACACAGGATATCCCTGTCTGGTACAGTGATCAATAGAGGACTTTGAGGATTTGACAATGAAGGTTATTGTGTCTGCAGCCAGATTACACGTGACGGATGGTAATACAATACCGCTGTCAGACATGCAGTGGCTATGTGTGACAGGTACACCACACTAGTGATGTCAGCTATCACACATGGCACCTGTTACGGGTTGTCAGGTGTCGCACGATAATCACATTTCAAACGTCTGAAGCTACTAAATAATTCCAGAACCAGGAATTGTGAACTGTTTTGATTTAGTGAGTTTCGTTATATATTATCTGGACGGAAAATCAAGACCTGACAAAAAACTGAATATTAGATAGTTGCCAGTTGTCAATATAATTCACTCCTGGCTTTATATTGGTGTGGTGGTATCGTGGAACAGTAATTATAAGGGATAATTGTTTAATTTTGGTTGAATTTCTGTCACTATTATTTGTTTTTGAAATTTTATCTGTTTATGAAGTTATTTCCACACTATTGTATTTGCCCCCTTTTGTTTCCTGCTACAGAGATGTGACCTATAAGGACCTAGCCAGGTATACTGACCTAGCTGATTTACATACATGGTATACTAAGCTTTGTATGACCTAGCTGATTTACATACATGGTATACCAAGCTTTGTATGACCTAGCTGATTTACGTACATGGTATACCAAGCTTTGTATGACCTAGCTGATTCACATACATGGTATACCAAGATTTGTACTGGTGTTTATCAGTGGTTCAGAGTACCGTATTTGACCACAAATAAGCCCCCACCCCTGGTGAAAAAAAATAGACCAGAAGTAGGAAGGGGGCTTAATTGCGAGTATCCCTCCTGTTCACAAATGTCAGCCATCTTGGATATACCATTGTTTTGATCTATGACCACACTTCATATCATGTACTTTCAGTTGTTCATGTAGTAACAACTAGCAGACAATATAACATGGTTACCAGGATACCTGCACTATGTACATGTAACTGTAGAATTATCCCGATTGAAGTTATACTGTACTTGTGTGGACAAGTAATCCAACGTAGGTAAAGTCCTTATGATTGTTTACTGGTGATAGAGGATGAGTTTGTTTGAGCTATAACCAGTTTCTCTTGTTTGCCACATTTTCGCAACAAAAATGTCTTCTAATCTTTACTATTCTTATCTGGAATGCAATTGATCTCTCCCTGGGGACCAGATTTAACCAAGGCTAGCACTACCACTGTCAGCTAAGCTTAGTAACCTAGGCTAGCACTACCACTGTCAGCAAAGCTTAGTAACCAAGGCTAGCACTACCACTGTCGGCTAAGCTTAGTAACCAAGGCTAGCACTACCACTGTCAGCGAAGCTTAGTAACCAAGGCTAGCACTACCACTGTCGGCTAAGCTTAATTAGTAACCAAGGCTAGCACTACCACCGTCAGCTAAGCTTAGTAAACAAGGCTAGCACTATCACTGTCAGCTAAGCTTAGTAAACAAGGCTAGCACTATCACTGTCAGCTAAGCTTAGTAAACAAGGCTAGCACTATCACTGTCAGCTAAGCTTAGTAAACAAGGCTAGCACTATCACTGTCAGCTAAGCTTAGTAAACAAGGCTAGCACTACCACTGTCTGCTAAGCTTAATTAGTAACCAAGGCTAGCACTATCACTATCAGCTAAGCTTAGTAAACAAGGCTAGCACCACCACTGTCGGCTAAGCTTAATTAGTAACCAAGGCTAGCACTACCACCGTCAGCTAAGCTTAGTAAACAAGGCTAGCACTACCCCTGTCAGCTAAGCTTAGTAACCAAGGCTAGCACTAGTACTACCACTGTCAGCTAAGCTTAGTAACCAAGGCTAGCACTAGTACTACCACTGTCAGCTAAGCTTAGTAACCAAGGCTAGCACTTCCACTGTCAGCTAAGCTTAGTAACCAAGGCTAGGGCTAGTACTACCACTGTCAGCTAAGCTTAGTAACCAAGGCTAGCCCTACCACTGTCGGCTAAGCTTAATTAGTAACCAAGGCTAGGACTACCACTGTCAGCTAAGCTTAGTAAACAAGGCTAACACTACCACTGTCAGCTAAACTTAGTAAACAAGGCTAGCACTACCACTGTCAGATAAGCTTAGTAAACAAGGCTAGCACTACCACTGTCTGCTAAGCTTAATTAGTAACCAAGGCTAGCACTATCACTATCAGCTAAGCTTATTAACAAGGCTAGCACTACCACTGTCGGCTAAGCTTAGTAACCAAGGCTAGCACTACCACTGTCGGCTAAGCTTAATTAGTAACCTGGAATGCAATTGATCTCTCCCTGGGGACCAGATTTAACCAAGGCTAGCACTACCACTGTCATCTAAGCTTAGTAACCAAGGCTAGCACTACCACTGTCGGCTAAGCTTAGTAACCAAGGCTAGCACTACCACTGTCAGCGAAGCTTAGTAACCAAGGCTAGCACTACCACTGTCGGCTAAGCTTAATTAGTAACCTGGAATGCAATTGATCTCTCCCTGGGGACCAGATTTAACCAAGGCTAGCACTACCACTGTCATCTAAGCTTAGTAAACAAGGCTAGCACTACCACTGTCAGCTAAGCTTAGTAAACAAGGCTAGCACTACCACTGTCAGCTAAGTTTAATTAGTAACCAAGGCTAGCACTATCACTATCAGCTAAGCTTAGTAAACAAGGCTAGCACTACCACTGTCGGCTAAGCTTAATTAGTAACCAAGGCTAGCACTACCACTGTCAGCTAAGCTTAGTAAACAAGGCTAGCACTACCACTGTCAGCTATGCTTAGTAACTAAGGCTAGCACTATCACTATCAGCTAAGCTTAGTAAACAAGGCTAGCACTACCACTGTCAGCTATGCTTAGTAACCAAGGCTAGCACTATCACTGTCAGCTAAGCTTAGTAAACAAGGCTAGCACTATCACTGTCAGCTAAGCTTAGATTGGTTTTGCTTATTAACTTTGAGTGTACATACCAGATTATGGTGTAGAATAAGTCTGAGAATTGAGGGGTTTTCTTTTGTGTCATCTGCCTAGGGGACATTACAGAAACTGGAATTAATTTGCTAACCCCATTGTAACCCTTGGGATCTATATCTTTCGTGACTTCTTCCTAAATGATCTTTCTTTTCATCAGTGTGTCTGCAGGCTGACGTCATATGACTGTAACTGATAATAATAATAGTTATAATGTACAGTACAACATTTGATATAGCGCCCTGTAATGTACAGTACAACATTTGATATAGCGCCCTATAATGTACAGTACAACATTTGATATAGCGCCCTATAATGTACAGTACAACATTTGATATAGCGTCCTATCTAGCTAGAATGAGCCACTCAAGACGCTTTACAGTACATAGACATACAATTCATACAATCAAAACGATTAGCATATACATTAATCAATATTGAGGAATTCGCAGGAGCTGCCTTATCAGGCGCTTGCTACTAGTCCTATGCCACCTGGCTAATATCTCCCTATGTGTGTGTGTTGGAGATGTATTGTGTTCTGTTTGTAGTGGAACCGTGCTTCTAATGGTATCATTTATAGTGCCTCCTCACTTGAATGCTACAGCACAGATACCGCAACATCCACCCCAGACCATTTTATAAGTCCACCTGGGTTGTTGGAGTTTGTGTGGGCAGGAGAAAAACACTTTTTCTGAATATTCCATGAATACGACGACTTTGGGGATCGAACCCAAACTGCCTGCGTGGAAGGCTGGAGTGTTAAATACTCGACCAATCCGCCATGCTGATGCAGGGATGTTAAAATAAAACAATCTTATGTAACAAGTGTGCCTTGGTATATATATAGTTTGTATGTGAGTTATGTAACAAGTGTGGCTTGATATATATATAGTTTGTATGTGAGTTATGTAACAAGTGTGGCTTGGTATACATATATAGTTTGTATGTGAGTTATAGTTGTATGCTGTGGTATTGTACATGTCTGGGTTGTTCATACATGTCTCCCTGTCATATGTGTAAATGACCGATATTTACCTGTCTGTGACCTCTGACGACTGCCTCAGGACAAAACCATATATATCCAACCTTCCCTACTCCTTGCTGACCAGGCTTAAAGCTTGTCATCGTACATCCAAGTCGGAGAATAATATCCATTGGCCTGGTGCAGCAGGACATATGGACTTTAAAGATTAGATATGTACTAATGTAGTGGTCAATTTACATAGACATATTACTCTACACGGCAGAAGTTTGAGTGGAACTCAGAGCAAGAAAGGAGTGTGAACAGTTATTGACCTAGTCATGTGGTTATAACGGCTGGGAACAGCTATGCTTGCTGTAGGTCAAGGTCAAGGTCAAGTGTTATAGTGTATATAAACATGTAGGTTTATTTTAGCTAGTACAGTTATATGTGTTGGCATCAGTTTACATGTCTGACCTAGAACTGCTTGAAAGTTAGAAACAGGAAGGAGAAAAGAAGATAGTGTTATTTAGGAACATGTGATTGAAATTGAAGATAGACTGTAGAAGAAAACACTAGTTTTGTGTGAGATATAAACTATTGTAGAACTTGGAGCACTGTAGTTTTGTGTGAGATATAAACTATTGTAGAACTTGGAGCACTGTAGTTTTGTGTGAGATGTATCGTGATGTGTGATTGGTCAGTCAGGCACTAGTTTTGTGTGAGATGTATTGTGATGTGTGATTGGTCAGTCAGGATCTCCTCCACATCATGTCTGTAAGCCACCCTTACTCTATAGAGGGGCTCCCTCCTCAAAACAGGAAAGTTATCTCATGGGAAGAAAAAGAACAACAGGAACTCTCAGTCGAACAGAAATGGAAGAAAACACATGTTGACCAACCAAAGGGCAGTAATGGAGAAAAGGTGATATTGTTTTACTGAGTAATAGTAATTTTACTTCTTCAAAAGTCAAGTTTTTATATATGGCTGTAGAGTCACCTACTGTCTGTTACTAGGGTCACCTACTGTCTGTTACTAGGGTCACATACTGTCTGTTACTAGTCTGTTACTAGGGACACCTACTGTCTGTTACTAAGGTCACCTACTGGCTGTTACTAGGGTCACCTGTCTGTTACTAGGGTCACCTACTGTCTTTTACTAGGGTCACCTACTGTCTGTTACTAGGATCACCCACTGTCTGTTACTAGGATCACCTACTGTCTGTTACTAAGGTGGCACCTACTGTCTGTTACTAGGCACCCACTGTCTAAACTAGGGTCACCTACTGTCTGTTACTAGGGTCACCTACTGTCTGTTACTAGGATCACCCACTGTCTGTTACTAGGATCACCTACTGTCTGTTACTAAGGTCACCTACTGTCTGTTACTAGGGGCACCTACTGTCTGTTACTAGGGTCACCTACTGTCTGTTACTAAGGTCACCTACTGCCTGTACTAGGGTCACCTACTGTCTGTTACTTAGGTCACCTACTGTCTGTTACTAAGGTCACCCACTGTCTGTACTAGGGTCACCTACTGTCTGTTACTTAGGTCACCTACTGTCTGTTACTAAGGTCACCCACTGTCTACTAGGGTCACCTACTGTCTGTTACTAGTGTCACCTACTGTCTGTTACTAGGATCACCCACTGTCTGGTACTAAGGTCACCTACTGTCTGTTACTAAGGTCGCCCACTGTCTACTAGGGTCACCTACTGTCGGTTACTAGGGTCACCTACTGTCTGTTACTAGGATCACCCACTGTCTGTTACTAAGGTCCCCTACTGTCTGTTACTAGGGTCACCTACTGTCTTTTACTAAGGTCACCTACTGTCTGTTACTAGGGTCACCTACTGTCTGTTACGAGGATCACCCACTGTCTGTTACTAAGGTCCCCTACTGTCTGTTACTAGGGTCACCTACTGTCTGTTACTAAGGTCACCTACTGTCTGTTACTAGGGTCACCTACTTTGTCTTGTATTCAAGTCAAGTTTGTAGTCAATAGGTTGTTTGATGATAAACTTGGCTTCTCATTCAAAACTTTACGAAACATTTGTATGTGCCACTCAGCCCATCACCTGTTGTGTATGCAGTGTTTAGCTGAAATGAGATTGTGTTATGTATTTTAAGAAAACTTGACTGATATATGAGAAGACCTCAGGATCAACAGTGGTTTTATCTATTATAGAGATATCTGACTGTAGCTGTTTATCGCTGCTAAAGTGCAACATAGATCAGGTTGTTAAATACCTGTTAGTGACGTAGAAATTATATCTCACTGTAGATGTTGATGTCATCTGGTGATGTCAAACCATGACCTTTGACATACACTGATTCTGCATTCTTGTGGTTTTTGATGCCATTCTTCTGAATAACCAAGAGGCCTAGAACAATGATGATATATGGCCAGGTACCTGGGTCAAAGTGATATAAAGTTTCCTCAAATAAATGACCTTGACCTACATTCAAGGTCACAGGGTTCAAAATTGTAAAAACCTTAAAACAACTAATCAGGAGGTCCAGAATACTGATCCATACTTGGCCAGTAAGTAAATTGCATCAAGTAATAGAAAGTTTCTTCAAATAAATGACCTTCATCTACGGTAAACCTCCGGTCAGTTAGAATAGGCGGATAGTTCAAACACACTTTTTAAACAATAAAAATAATAATTTTCTGTCTAGTGATAGTTCAAACCCTGCTTACACACGTTTCGGATTGTTCGAACACACAATTTGAGTACTGAAATTACGTAATTATTGATCGAGGTTGGCTATCGGCTATGCAATAATAGCCTCACGAAACTCACTTAAACTTGATCTATTTGTGCATCGACAGAGTTTAATTACTGAATTACAGGTAGTACTCATGTGCGACCATTGTTGTCATCAATGTCGGACAATTTGTACACTTATTAGCCACATGTTACCGATGATTGAGTTTCTTTCTTGTAAACATGTGCACATGCCAGTCAAACATCTTCTGGCCTCGACCATGTATAATATCCTAACAGTACAAGGAGCGCGGAATGTTACCGTCACATCGCTGACAGAACCGTGTATAATATCCTAACAGTACATGGAGCGCGGAATGTTACTGTCACATCGCTGACAGAACCCATGTATAATATCCTAACAGTACACAGATTTATTATTTAATTGATATATATTACCTATGCATGTGCCAAAACAAAAATATCTGACCAGGTGGTCGATCAAACTATTAATCCGTAATTGCAGTTTCAATCCACCCTCCGCATTCTGTTGCATGTTGGGATAGTAGTTTGAAAATGGTGGTCGATCAAACTATTAATCCGTAATTGCAGTTTCAATCCACCCTCCGCATTCTGATCAGTACAACTGACCTTTTGTCAATACATCTACTGCTTTGCGGCCTACATACTTGTCTCTGTTTTGCAATTGAACTTAGTAATTGATTATTTATATGTAAGTAAATGTAAGAAAGATATATATATACCATTATTCATCTCCTGATTTGCAATATTTATTTAATTTTGTTCGAACTTACCGGAGGTTTACCATACTTTCAAGATCCCAGGGCTCAAATTTGTAAATATCTTTTAAACAACTTCTTTTGCAATACCAGGAGGCTCTGGGTGATGATATGTGACCAGTAAGTAGCATGTTGGGATAGTAGTTTGAAAAGGTGGTCGATCAAACTATTAATCCGTAATTGCAGTTTCAATCCACCCTCCGCATTCTGATCAGTACAACTGACCTTTTGTCAATACATCTACTGCTTTGCGGCCTACATACTTGTCTCTGTTTTGCAATTGAACTTAGTAATTGATTATTTATATGTAAGTAAATATAAGAAAGATATATATATACCATTATTCATCTCCTGATTTGCAAATATATAATTATATCACAATAAGGCCGTCGTTGTTACGTATCAATGAGTGTTTGACGTGATTTTTGCCAATGTCGACTCGGATAGTTCGAACTACTCTTTATTGTAGCGGCTATAATTATGTGTAATTCGAACAGGATTGACAATATTTATTTAATTTTGTTCGAACTTACCGGAGGTTTACCATACTTTCAAGATCCCAGGGGTCAAATTTGTAAATATCTTTTAAACAACTTCTTTTGCAATACCAGGAGGCTCTGGGTGATGATATGTGACCAGTAAGTAGCATGTTGGGATAGTAGTTTGAAAATTTCATTTACTCGGGGACATTCTTCAGACAAGGAGACTCAATGTATGAAAATATTTGCAAAATAGCTTTTATTGAGAGTAATTTCCAATGGTTGCTTAGCGATGCAGACCCTCTGGGCCTCTTGTTTCTGTGAGATTCGGTAGTAACAGAAATATCTTATACTACTGTGTCATGGTATAACATGGTATACAGGGTGACAAAGGATGTCAGGTGAGGGATACAGACCCTCTGGGCCTGTTGTTGCTGTGAGATTTGGTAGTAACAGAAATATCTTGTACTACTGTGTCATGGTGTAACATGGTATACAGGGTGACATAGGATGGCAGGTGAGGGATACAGACCCTCTGGGCCTCCTGTTTCTGTGAGATTCGGTAGTAACAGAAATATCTTATACTACTGTGTCATGGTATAACATGGTATACAGGGTGACAAAGGATGTCAGATAACATTAGACTTGTCTGTTTTTTAAATACAACAATGATAAACTGCACTTAGTCAAAGCTTGACTGTCTCCTGGTATCTCGTTGTAAATATTGTGACCTAAAAATAACGGTTTTATCGACTTCAAGGTCAAATATTGTTCAATGACCGAATTTAAAGTATTTCCCATAGTACACCTACACACATGGAGAAACACAGGTAAATAATCAGTAAATAATCAGTTGGCATCTCGTCACACGGTCAGTCCACAGATAGGGAGCAGTGACCTTGTACTGACCAGCTACAATACTTGAATGTACTAGAATGGCTTTTGCTCTGTCACCGATCAAGTCTTATTATAACCAAGTAAGAAATACTGTCAACATTTTAAATCCTTTTTTTTTTGACATCATCTATAGATGATAAGAAATTGTTCTTCCTTGTTTCATTGAGTATATGGAGGATATCTTGTGAGATTGATATAGTATCGCCGGCCCGTCTAATCTGATAATAGTGATCCTTTAGAAAGTTGTGTGATTTATGATACAAGGAATTGTGTATACTGGACATTGTATACAACATAGTTCCAGGGATAGAGCCAACACCATTTCTCTCATTTAGGTTTGGGAATTTATCCCTTGCCCAATAAATCCCAACTTGTCCCGAGCTTGTTGCGAGTGACTTCTATACTTAGTTATACCTAGACATTGTATTGTATTTTTCTGAATATTGCTCAGAAATTAACCATTCAACTGCCCCTCCGGGGTCAAAGTACTTAAAAACCAAGGGTCAAATTAAATTCATTTACCAGGGTGCTCAGAAATTAACCATTCAACTGCCCATTGGGGGTCACAGTACTTAAAACCAAGGGTCAAATTGAATTCTTTTACCAGGGTGTAGATTCCCTTGTAACAAGTGTAGAAGGAGGGCTAGATTTACTTGTAACAAGTGTAGAAGGAGGGCTAGATTCCCTTGTAACAAGTGTAGAAGGAGGGCTAGATTTACTTGTAACAAGTGTAGAAGGAGGGCTAGATTCCCTTGTAACAAGTGTAGAAGGAGGGCTAGATTTACTTGTAACAAGTGTAGAAGGAGGGCTAGATTTACTTGTAACAAGTGTAGAAGGAGGGCTAGATTTACTTGTAACAAGTGTAGAAGGAGGGCTAGATTTACTTGTAACAAGTGTAGAAGGAGGGCTAGATTTACTTGTAACAAGTGTAGAAGGAGGGCTAGATTTACTTGTAACAAGTGTAGAAGGAGGGCTAGATTTACTTGTAACAAGTGTAGAAGGAGGGCTAGATTTACTTGTAACAAGTGTAGAAGGAGGGCTAGATTTACTTGTAACAAGTGTAGAAGGAGGGCTAGATTTACTTGTAACAAGTGTAGAAGGAGGGCTAGATTCCCTTGTAACAAGTGTAGAAGGAGGGCTAGATTTACTTGTAACAAGTGTAGAAGGAGGGCTAGATTTACTTGTAACAAGTGTAGAAGGAGGGCTAGATTTACTTGTAACAAGTGTAGAAGGAGGGCTAGATTCCCTTGTAACAAGTGTAGAAGGAGGGCTAGATTTACTTGTAACAAGTGTAGAAGGAGGGCTAGATTTACTTGTAACAAGTGTAGAAGGAGGGCTAGATTTACTTATAACAAGTGTAGAAGGAGGGCTAGATTCCCTTGTAACAAGTGTAGAAGGAGGGCTAGATTCCCTTGTAACAAGTGTAGAAGGAGGGCTAGATTTACTTATAACAAGTGTAGAAGGAGGGCTAGATTCCCTTGTAACAAGTGTAGAAGGAGGGCTAGATTTACTTATAACAAGTGTAGAAGGAGGGCTAGATTCCCTTGTAACAAGTGTAGAAGGAGGGCTAGATTTACTTATAACAAGTGTAGAAGGAGGGCTAGATTTACTTGTAACAAGTGTAGAAGGAGGGCTAGATTTACTTATAACAAGGGGTCAATGCTTTCCATTAGCTGCAGTGACTGCCTTGGTCTGTAGCTACAGAGATACTTAGTTTCATGTACCATGCAGATAATGTGTAGTACAGTCTCAACGAGGAATCAAATCTGAAAGTGCTTATCAGAATTTAAACTACAATGAGTACTTCAAGATATGCTTGCAGTGCGAAAAAGGTCAACACTCAAAAATGCTCAATTTGATTAAAATTTAGACTTGTAATTCCACTCCACTATGATACACCCTTGTGTTGGAGTGTATGGCAATGGAACGGAGTTAAAAGTCGTATTTTAATTAGATTAAAACACATTACATATATATATATACATTAGATTCTATATTTAATTTATTTTTTACCTGTTTGCCTTAATGTGATGTAATTAATTTTCCAGTTTAACGTCCAAGACATGGAGCATACAGGGGCCTACTATGTCCAGTCTCAGCAGCGCCAGGCCGCCTCTGCCCGGTCACTCATGGAACATATCTCTAAACTGGACATTGACTCGGAGCCACACGAGGTCAGAAAATCAGGCATCATCTGTACCATAGGTAAGATAACTCGGTATAAACTGAAGTCAAAAGATGTATCTCTGCATGAGCCAGACCTCTATGTCTGGCCCTGTGTGGTAAGAAGTGGGACACACTGTATGTTGAGTAAGCTGGACTTCCATACATTTTGTGTGAAATATAGGAAATTCCACCTGCAATAATGAATTGTAGTATTATACCTATATGCTTTGCTGAGTGTTTGAAATTGAATACTTTCACTCCAAGGATGGGATTTGCCTATCTTCAACATATACTTCATTAGAAAATGAAAAGAGTGAAGTGCATAATTTCTAGCTAGATTTTGTCCAGGCTATAATTAACTTTTAAATTGTTCAAGATATTTTTGTGAAACCTAAATGATATTTTGGTTAAAGGTCAAATAAGTGCAAAATTTCCAGTGAAACCTTGGCTACATTCGTGTATCCCGGTTGAAACGGTACGTGTGGCGCAGAAATTTTCCACGATAAACGAACACACTTGGACAGTTCTATAAGCAGAGCTCCACAGTTTCGGAGAATAAAAAACAATGTATCAAGAATATTATATCCTTCTCTCACGCATCCACTAAATTACATAACGTATCTTAAAAATTACATGTGACTTGACATTGTTTAAGAAAGAAATAACACAAATTGGCAATAGTCAGCATTTTAGTTTCCGTCAGGTACGTCTGGACCCCTCAATCTACACGTACCAAATTTTCTTGAGGTCAGCCTCGGTCCAAATCTGTACCTGTCGTTTTCTTTACAGGTTCAACCGTTTCAACCGGATACGCGAATGTACCCCTTGTCTTGGCCATAACTTTTAAACCATTAAAATATCTTGATAAAACTATTCTAGTTAAAAAGTGTGTGTATTGATGCAATGAGTTATCATATATTATCAGCAAGTTTACATTGATGTCATATGGTAAGGGAAGATAACTCTTCATTTCGTATGGTAAGGGAAGATAACTCCTCATATCATATGGTAAGGGAAGATAACTCTTCATATCATATGGTAAGGGATGATAACTCTTCATATTATATGGTAAGGGAAGATAACTCTGTATGTCATTTTATAGGCCCTGCCTGTCGGGATGTTGACGTTCTACAGAAGATGATCATTGAAGGAATGAACATAGCTCGTCTCAATTTCTCACACGGAACTCACGAGGTAACGCACGCAGTAGATCTTCGTCTATAGTTTTAGAATCATACACATAAAAACTCATTTATACGTTTGTGAATTTTCTGGTTATAAACAGGATACGGTATGATGTTTCTTTGTGTTATGTTATTGATCCTCAGGTCTATGACTTCCTGTGGGACCAATTTTATCATAGCTGTCAACCTTCCCTCATTTTGACCAAAATTTATCAATCTCCCACGAAACTCCCACATTCAAGTCCAAACTTGCACAAACTCAAAATCTACATCCTGTGGTTAAATGATTTCCTAGTAACAGCAGGGTGTGTGTAATAATCATAACAGGTGTGTATGAATCCAACGTGGAGTGAGGGGGGTCCCGTCCCTCATTGGACAATTCACAGGATGATTTAGTACATACCACAGATGGAAGTAACTCCAGGGAAGTCAATCAGATCTGCCACCTATGTTGTAGTATGGTAACCTTTGATATTTTTTTCAGTACCATGAGGGAACTATCAAGAACCTTCGCACAGCCATCGAGGGATTCTCTAATCGCCGTCCGGTGGCTATCGCCCTGGACACCAAAGGGCCTGAGATCAGAACGGGACTACTGGAGGGGGTCGGTATAACATGACAGGCATCATTCAATTTGTCTGTAATATTGTAATCCTAGGATATAACACTGATCAGAATGGGACTACTGGAGGTGGTCGGTATAACATGACAGGCATCATTCAATATGTCTGTAATCCTGTAATCCTAGGATATAACACTGAACAGAACAGGACTCCTGGAGGGGGTCAGTATAACATGACAGCCATCATTCAATTTGTCTGTAATCCTGTAATCCTAGGATATAACACTGAACAGAATTGGACTACTGGAGGGGGTCGGTATAACATGACAACCATCATTCAATTTGTCTGTTATCCTCTAATCCTAGGATATAACACTGAACAGAATGGGACTACTGGAGGGCGTCGGTATAACATGACAGGCAGCATTCAATTTGTCTGCAATCCTGTAATCCTAGGATATAGCACGGAACAGAATGCAGTTCAATCCTGTAATCCTAAGATATAACACGGAACAGAATGCAGTTCAATCCTGTAATCCTAAGATATAACACGGAACAGAATGCAGTTCAATCCTGTAATCCTAGGATATAACCCTGAACAGAACGGGACTACTGGTGGGGGACGGTATAACATGACAGGCATCATTCAATTTGTCTGCAATCCTGTAATCCTAGGATATAGCACGGAACAGAATGCAGTTCAATCCTGTAATCCTAGGATATAACACTGAACAGAATGGGACTACTGGAGGGCGTCGGTATAACATGACAGGCATCATTCAATTTGTCTGCAATCCTGTACTCCTAGGATATAACACTGAACAGAATGGGACTACTGGAGGGGGTCGGTATAACATGACAGACATCATTCAATTTGTCTGTAATATTGTAATCCTAGGATATAACACTGAACAGAACGGGACTACTGGAGGGGGTCGGTATAACATGACAGACATCATTCAATTTGTCTGCAATCCTGTAATCCTAGGATATAACACTGAACAGAATGGGACTCCTGGAGGGGGTCGGTATAACATAAAAGGCATCATTCAATTTGTCTGCAATCCTGTAATCCTAGGATATAAAACGGAACAGAATGCAGTTCAATCCTGTAATCCTAGGATATAACACGGAACAGAATGCAGTTCAATGCTCAATTGTGTAGTTTTTTTATGCCTTCAATTTTTTGGGGGGTTTAGTTTAGGAGGGTTCTTATAGCTTAATTGAGTCATTTCGGTACATATATAACAACTCATTGTACATACACTTACAGATTTGTAGACAAATCGTACATATTTTACACCTTTGTGTACATACGCTTCACTGATCATTTGTCTATTGAAGGTGACAGAGTGTAAATATTGTACTAGTCATCGAAACGTCACATAGAAACATTTATTGGTTGTGTTACAAGAATCTTTTGATAATCCATACTTACGAACCTGATGAAAATGTTTAGAAATAGGGTTTTAAGTATGTTACTATGTTTTACAAGGAGTCCAAGTACTCAAGTAGATGCTACAATGGTATGTGACGGGCATATATTGCTCCGACCCATTCCTATCTTTCATTTGTGGCTTTCTTTTTTAATCGTGTTTGACCTTTACAGGGGCCATCAGCAGAGTTGACCCTCATTACAGGAGCGACCATTAAAATAACTACTGACGACCAGTACATGGAGAAGTGCTCCAAGGACGTGCTCTGGGTCGACTACAAAAATATCACCAAGGTTATGAAGGTCAAGGACAGGATTTTCATTGACGACGGCCTGATCTCGGCTGTCGTACAAGAAGTAGGTAAGTAGTCTGGTATTCCTATTAAATTTTCATTGACGACGGCCTCATTTCGGACGTTGTACAAGAAGTAGGTAAGTAGTCTGGTATTCCTACCAAATCTTCATTGACGATGGCCTCATCTCAGCTGTACTCCAAAAGATGCGAGTACAAAGTTGAAACAAAGCTGTCAGTCAAACTTAAAATCAATGAAACTAGTACAAATCCTAACCAAAGGTAATTTTATATAGAGATAATAATGATATATAATTTATATAGAGATAATAATAATAATATATAATTTATATAGAGATAATAATGATATATAATTTATAGAAATTCACAAAAGCTAACCATCGTAGAACTGTTAACATCGTAGAACTGTTAACATCGTAGAACTGTAAACATCGTAGAACTGTTCCTATTTACTGTATGCAGCAGTAGACAGGCTTCCCGAAAAACTTACAAGAAACATATTTCAGGTAAAATGAGATACTTCTTGCAACTGCTTAATGAGACAACCATGTGCTTTGTGTTATATAGGGGCAGACTTCCTCATGTGTCAGATAGAGAACGGAGGAGACCTGGGCAGTAAGAAGGGCTGCAACCTTCCAGGGATCGCTGTAGATCTACCCGCTGTGTCGGAGAAGGACAAAGCTGATCTACTATTTGGTGTTAAACATGGTGTAAGGGCTAATCACATAAGTGCCACCGAGACCGCTGTTTCTTAGTTCACTGACTGGAGATAAACCCTGGATTACAGATTACTTATCTTTGTGGTCACGTTATGCAAACTTGCCAACTCTCCCTATTTAGAAGGGGTCCCACAATTTTGGATCCTTAAATTTAGTATTTTCAACCAGTGAATTTGCCAAACTATTGTTATATTCTAAGATCTAATGATTTAAACTGAAAAAACTACGCAAAATATGTCCTTTTAAAGGCTTATTGGTCTCTATATATAATTGGAATAATGATTAGTTAAGCATATAATTATCACATGATCAGTGACTTCAAGGCTGTACTGGATGTACAAATCATAATAGATCAAATCAGAATCCTGAAACCAACAGATGTCACAATAAAATACCATCTGTAAGAATGCATTTTAGGAAAAAAACTTATTCTGATCATATTGACATCAGTAATATTTATTATTATACCTTCTGTTAAAATCTCGTAATCTGATTGGTTGAGAAAGATGTGAACATTTTCAATGTTACTTGCTCGTTTTACATAGATAAAGAAGACAGGGTGAATATTCCAAAAAATATCACATGCGCCAAACGTATGCGTGCACGGCTTGTCCCAGTGCCAGGGTGTTATTCCAAAAATTGTTACATGCGCCAAACGTATGCGTGCACGGTTCGTCCCAGTGCCAGGGGGTTATCAAATCACATTCATGGTTGGTTCATTCGACAACTGTTGAGATGAAGTCTTGGTTTATGTCAAATCAACACAAGGACCTTTAAAAATGGTGAAGTGGTGAAAAACCTAAACATGACACTCGGTATAATAAAATAAAAATCGCATTCATGAGAGGGCGATATTGCATATTTTCACCCCTCGGAAAGCATTGTTGACCTCGGCTTCGCCTCGGTCAACAATGCTTCCTTGGGGTGAAAATATGCAATATTGCCCTCTCATGAATGTGATATTTATATACTAGCATATGCCTGTTGCTAATTCCTAACTCAGATAGTAGCTACAACATCATGTGATGAGTCTGTTGATATGTTACAGACCCCACTCAAGAATAGAAAGTGTTACAGACTATTACTAAAAATAGGTCAGGGTATTTTCAGGTCTGTAAATCTGTAATGGAAACTATTCTAAAAATAGAATTTGTCTGTTGTAATTTCTCCAATCGACCATACTTGTCAACTTTTTGAAATTTCTATGGGGGAGATTATGCATGCTCATGATGAAAAGCATAAATAAAATGTGTTTATGTACACCCTAGGGGGAAAAATACACTTTAAATGGCATGTATGATAGTTTGAGCTGTTCATTCAGATGATTTGTTTTTAGCAAATTCACTGGTTCGAAATGCTCAATTTTAGGGTCCAATCTCGGGAGTCTCCCTCCAAAGTAGGGAGAGTTGGCAAGTGTGTAATCCGATTGAAGAGGACAGATGTCCTGTGACAAATATGTAAATATTTTAAAAACTCCATTCCAACAACAGAAATAGGTGTTACAGGCTATACTGGACTATAACATCATTTGTGACACAAGGCTGAATTAGTGGCTTTATATGACATGTGGACGTCGGTCTACCCAAGATATGCCGACCTGGTCAGAGCAATACTCATTTCTGCCCTCGCTCTCGATGAATACTGCTCTTACCTGCAGGTCTGTAAGTTTTGGGAAGACTTCACCTGAAGTCCATATTTGTATAATATTTGTGTGGTATAATATTTAACAACATCATCGGTAAATACTACCTTATACTTACAATAGGTGGACATGGTGTTCGCCTCCTTCATCAGGAGTGGTCAGCACATCCAAGACATCCGCGACGTCCTCGGTCCCGACGGTGCTAACATTAAAATCATTGCCAAGATTGAGAACCACGAAGGAGTGAAAAGGTAGGCAGAGCCCTTGTTGAACATTGATACGACATGGCACAGTAATTCAAACGGGAACTAATAAAATTACAAAATGTCATCTTCAAAAAATATCTGAAGAGTCCGATACTGTACCTTTGTGTTCCAAGTTTCCAGACGGTTATAATTTGAGTCTTTTTACGTGGTATTTCAATATTTTGAAGAAAAACCAGATGGAAAACTCCAACAGCCCGACTTTAACTCGTATTATAAAAGTGGGGTTGACTGTAGCCTACCAATTACCAGGGATGTGATTCTTCCTCTCTTCAGAGAATTGCCTCTCTCCCATGATTTCAAATGTTCTTGATTTGTTTTGAAACATTGAAATATTCAGTTTCTAAGAGAGTGAGGTGTGTTCCTCCTTTTCTGCAATTCCCAATTATATGGATCCTTGAATTACACTTGACAATTAAATTGAGCAAGTGTTTCTTTCCTTTAATTTTTAGTATTTCTCAATTTGTGTTTTGTGGAATCACAAAGGGTCATGTTAAACTAGCTGATGATGAGGCAGCATTGTTTGTCAGGATTAAATTCTTCTCTGGAAATTTGTTTTACTTGTAAAAATCATTCAAAAGGGCTTGTTTAATGAAACACTAATTCCTATTTGTTTGCTTGACTACCAGATTTGACGAGATCCTGAAGGAGACGGACGGAGTCATGGTGGCTCGTGGTGACCTTGGCATAGAGATTCCGGCGGAGAAAGTCTTCCTCGCCCAAAAGATGATGATCAGTCGCTGTAACCGCAAAGGCAAGCCAGTCATCTGTGCCACACAGATGCTTGAAAGCATGGTGAAGAAGCCGCGACCAACCAGGGCCGAGTCGAGTGACGTGGCCAATGCCGTCCTAGACGGAGCTGACTGTGTCATGTTGTCAGGAGAGACTGCCAAGGGAGATTACCCACTTGAGTCGGTCAAGATGATGCACAAGGTTCTCATTGTTGTCTCCCTCTAAAAGTATTATAAGTAGTAAAAAAAACTTTCCCAAATTTTACATAAAAAAGGTCCCCTGGCTTGAGCTTAGTGAGCTTATGCCGTGACACCGCATCTGCCAGCCGCCCGGTGTCAAAATTTTCTTAAAACAACCTTTTCACAATAACCAGTAGGCCTAGCGTAATGATATTTAGACAATAGTATACTGGGTTGAAAGGCTTTCATATTTGTTCAAATAAATGACCTTGAATTACGTTCAGATAAACATCTGAATATTGTTGCTAATCTCTAACAACCTTCTAGCTGAATGAAAGTAACAAACTGTACCTCATCACTCCCCCAGTATATCTATCTCAATAATCGTCAACTCAAAGCTGGTGGACCTATGAAAACATTTCATGTATCAAGAGTGCCATAGGATTTGCAATGTTGTGTATCTTTTTAGTGTACAAAAGTAATTGTTAAATGTCTGCAATGTTGTGTTTCGTTTTAGTGTACAAAAGTAATTGTTAAATGTCTGCAATGTTGTGTATCTTTTTAGTGTACAAAAGTAATTGTTAAATATCTGCATTGTTGTGTATCTTTTTAGTGTACAAAAGTAATTGTTAAATGTCTGAAATGTTGTGTATCTTTTTTGTGTTAAAAAGTAATTGTTAAATGTCTACAATGTTGTGTATCTTTTTATTGTACAAAAGTAATTGTTAAATATCTGCATTGTTGTGTATCTTTTTAGTGTTCAAAAGTAATTGTTAAATGTCTGCAATGTTGTGTATCTTTTTTGTGTTCAAAAGTAATTGTTAAATGTCTGCAATTTTATGTATCTTTTTAGTGTACAAAAGTAATTTTTAAATGTCTGCAAGTAATTGTTAAATGTCTGCACAATTTTATGTATTTTTTTAGTGTACAAAAGTAATTTTTAAATGTCTGCAATGTTGTGTCAACCTTATTTTGAGTGGAGAGACCTGAACTTGTTATTTAATGATTACAGATCTGTCGGGAGGCTGAGTCGGCCGTGTATACCAGTCAGTACTTTGAGGAGATCCGTAAGGATAATGCCCAAAACTTTGAGGTCACTAACACTGTCGCCATCGCTGCTGTCGAGGCATCCTTCCACTGCAACGCTGCCGCCATCATCGTCATCACTACAACAGGACGGTAATGATCCCCTTAAAACACTGATCACGTTAGTCAGTCGTGTGGGTAATGATCCCCTCAAAACACTGATTACGTTAGTCAGTCGTGTGGGTAATGATCCCCTCAAAACACTGATTACGTTAGTCACAGTCGTGTGGGTAATGAACCCCTCAACACACTGATCATGTTAGTCACAGACGTTTGGGACACATCATGTTGATATTACTTCGACATAACAACCTGAACATTGCAATAGAGATATGGAGATAATTATCATATACTATTGTTAAAAAAAACTCCTATTGGAGCAACAGTCGGGATACAGAATGGGAGGATTTGTTTAAACAATTTTCAAGACTGGTTTCATAATCGGCTTTATAAGAAGGTGTTTTACGACAGGTTTTATTGGAGGCAGGTTTTGGTGGCGGCATTTTTCATTGGAGGCAAGTTTCAGTAAGGCATTGTTTGTTAGAGACAGACATTGGAGACAAGTTTCAGTAAGGCATTGTTTGTTAGAGACAGACATTGGAGGCAAGTTTCAGTGAGACATTGTTTGTTAGAGACAGACATTGGAGACAAGTTTCAGTAAGGCATTGTTTGTTAGAGACAGACATTGGAGGCAAGTTTCAGTAAGGCGTTGTTTGTTAGAGACAGACATTGGTAAGGCATCTTTCTTAAGTTGACCTAAAACATAATACAATTCTTTAATCAGACTAGACGCAAATCTATCTATTTCAGGTAGCCATAGAACTCTAGAATTTATATTTAGAAAATCTAGTTCATAGGACCTGTATCACGCAAGTTGTGTTTTGGATTCTGATGTACATTGACATGACTGTCTTGTTGTATTACAGGTCTGCCCAACTGATTTCCAAGTACCGCCCCCGATGCCCAATCCTGGCAATCACGCGCAAGGCCCAGACTGCTCGCCAGAGTCATTTATACCGTGGCGTGTTCCCCATACATTATGCAGGTAAGTGATAATGCCAGAAACTTTCACCTCACAACTTCAACAATGGCTGACCCCAGCAAATGTTCAGAAATGGTGGGATGGGGTGTGAAAACTGTATGTACTACCCACTGTACCCAGTGTTTACGATCATGCTGTTTCCATAACAGTGCGAATCTTGATAAGTTAACAAGTTGTACTTGTATTGCAGGGAACTGATATTTCATGTCCTACATCATTCCTATATGATGTGGGTCAAAATGATTGTCTCTAGGGAACCAAAGTCTTAAATCAGCTACTCAAATACTGCTACATTTTCTTCTTCTTTGTCAAACTGGTGTCTGCCAACTTCCTGATTTTTTTTCCTTTTTGATAATATACATATATTTTACAATTCTCTCCATGTGAAACTGGTGTCAGGCATCTTTATGTACTTTGTTTTGACGCAGTATTAATCTCCGTTTCAATCCTTCTCCTGTAAAACTGGTGTCGGCCAACTTTATGTACTTTTGTTTTGACGCAGTATTAATCTCCGTTTCAATCCTTCTCCTGTAAAACTGGTGTCGGCCAACTTTATGTACTTTTGTTTTACGCAGTATTAATCTCCGTTTCAATCCTGCTCCTGTAAAACTGGTGTCGGGCATCTTTATGTACTTTGTTTTGACGCAGTATTAATCTCTGTTGCAATCCTGGTCCTGTAAAACTGGTGTCGGGCATCTTTATGTCCTTTTTTTTGACGCAGTATTAATCTCCGTTGCAATCCTGGTCCTGTAAAACTGGTGTCGGCCAACTTTATGTACTTTTGTTTTCAGGCAGTATTAATCTCCGTTGCAATCCTGGTTCTGTAAAACTGGTGTCGGCCAACTTTATGTACTTTTGTTTTACGCAGTATTAATCTCCGTTGCAACCCTGGTCCTGTAAAACTGGTGTCAGGCAACTTTATGTACTTTTGTTTTACGCAGTATTAATCTCCGTTGCAATCCTGCTCCTGTAAAACTGGTGTCGGCCAACTTTATGTACTTTTGTTTTGATGCAGTGTTAATCTCCGTTGCAATCCTGGTCCTGTTTAAACTGGTATCGGCCAACTTTATGTACTTTTGTTTTACGCAGTATTAATCTCCGTTTCAATCCTGCTCCTGTAAAACTGATGTCGGGCAACTTTATGTACTTTTGTTTTGACGCAGTATTAATCTCTGTTTCAATCCTGCTCCTGTAAAACTGATGTCGGCCGACTTTATGTACTTTTGTTTTGACGCAGTGTTAATCTCCGTTTCAATCCTGCTCCTGTAAAACTGATGTCGGGCGACTTTATGTACTTTTGTTTTGACGCAGTATTAATATCCTTTGCAATCCTGGTCCAGTAAAACTGATGTCGGGCGACTTTATGTACTTTTGTTTTGACGCAGTATTAATCTCCGTTTCAATCCTGGTCCTGTAAAACTGGTGTCGGGCATCTTTATGTACTTTTGTTTTGACGCAGTATTAATCTCCGTTTCAATACTGCTCCTGTAAAACTGGTGTGGGGCATCTTTATGTACTTTTGTTTTGACGCAGTATTAATCTCCGTTTCAATCCTGCTCCTGTAAAACTGGTGTCGGGCGACTTTATGTACTATTGTTTTGACGCAGTATTAATCTCCGTTTCAATCATGGTCCTGTAAAACTGGTGTCTGGCATCTTTATGTACTTTGTTTTGACGCAGTGTTAATCACCTCCTGCTCCACTTAAACACTAGCTGTATGTATGTGGTATCACAACTGGCCGAGTCCTTTGCTGTGCTCCACTCTGACTTCTATAGGAGTGTTCAAAACACCAGTTTGGGAATCGGGGAGAGGACATGAACCACTGACATTTTTGTTCTGATATTTAGAACAATATACTGAGATACTGTAATGGAAGTCTGGTGTTTGGCGTACTTTTGAAAATAGATTATCTTTCTGATCAAGTATTTATCAAACCAGTGCGCACTGCTGTGTCGTTAGGAAATTTGAAGGATATTGCTACATGATTAATATTGTCCCTAGTCTGACACTGTATCTAGATTTTACACTGAATCAATAAACAGATGTGTCCATATTGACATTCCTTCATTTCCTTCAAACTCTTTTGGTTGTTCCTCTTCATACTGTTGTGATTAATTGTCTGCCGACAACTTATAAACAATCAAGCGCTCGCACACAGAATAGACAGGTGTTATACAGAATGGCAGATTGTGTTGTTTTTTTTCTCACATTGAACTTATTGTTATGTTTATTTCACCTAGAGGCTAGAATCAGCACATATAATTAACATTTTTTATGCAACAGGTAGTCAGAATTCAAGTTTCAAATCTATCAACTTGGTGTGCACGTGGTCAGATGTCAAAAGTGACATAGAGTCTGGGTTTATTGGATGTTCAATTTTGTTTACAAGATAAATTGTGATGGATTTTGACAGCAGACAATAAATTCTAAATCTGATCCAAGTTAGTAGGCAGTGTGGGTAGTGTTTATGTTCTGTGTTGTTGTGTGTATACCGTAGATGTTTACTCTAGGCGTGCATCATTATCGTTCTGTGTTGTTGTTGTGTATACTGTAGGTGTTTACTCTAGGCGTGGATCATTATCGTTCTGTGGTGTTGTTGTGTATACTGTAGATGTTTACTCTAGGCATGGGTCATTATCGTTCTGTGTTGTTGTGTGTATACCGTAGATGTTTTCTCTAGGCGTGGATCATTATCGTTCTGTGGTGTTGTTGTGTATACTGTAGATGTTTACTCTAGGCGCGGATCATTATCGTTCTGTGTTGTTGTGTGTATACCGTAGATGTTTTCTCTAGGCGTGGATCATTATCGTTCTGTGTTGTTGTGGGTATACCGTAGATGTTTACTCTAGGCGTGCATCATTATCGTTCTGTGTTGTTGTTGTGTATACTGTAGATGTTTACTCTAGGCATGGATCATTATCGTTCTGTGTTGTTGTGTGTATATTGTAGATGTTTACTCTAGGTGTGGATCATTATTGTAATATGCTTCATGTATGCACAACCCTTCACCTTTAACCTATTGACCTTTGAACTGCTGCTCTACCTACCCATGTATCTCCTCGCTTTTATAAGTGTCAGTCTACTATGTAGCTAGTCTTACTAAATCCTGTGTGACTTGTCTTTGTATAATGTGTAGACTAGGCCAAATAGTATGTGTGTTTCAGGTTTCCCTTACTCTTTTATATGAGTTTTTGTCCCCATTTGATACTTAAATTTAACCACGAGCCATAATCTTTCAAAGGTGTAATTCCTAATAAATTCCTGTAGAATTCTCCCGCCGAAACTTCTACAATACTCAGTCTTGTCAAACTCAAATTCTTCAATGTTGTTATATAACACGCTACAGTTACTGTATGGAATCTGACAACACTGCCTGATTGCTCACATCCTGCTCACATTTTACTCAAAATGTGTGACGCCCCTCAAAATTCACAAGTTGTAAGACACGTATATATATAAGCATCCAGGTTTTTAATGCTACAGAACATGATCCCAGATACAATGTTATCAGACCTAACACTGAAGTGTATAGAAGAGTAATGGACTAGTCGACCTGGGCCCATATTCATGAAACCGTTCTCATGCTCAGGCATGGATTATGTGCTCAAACCAACTTTCTTGTTACTCGCTGAAATCATGTGAAATGATCAAAAAAGTCATGTTTAAACCTTTAAAACAGTATTCGGCTTTAAGTCTCATCAATATTCTTCCATATCATTTATAAAATAAGATTTAATTATTAATTCACAACCAGAACAAGAAATTCAGCTTGAGCACAAAATACAAGCTTGAGTATGTGAACGGTTTTATGAATACGGATCCATGTCCAGTTGAACCTCGTTATCCAGTGAAATGTTGACATTATAAAGGGGTGTAGCAGTGTGTCAGTCGGGGACAGGTGGAAACAGTGATGGGCATTCTATTGAGGTTACACTATATCAATGATATTGTAGGAAGTTTTCACAGGAAACCTGAAACACAACATAAACTTAGTGGTGCTTTTCCTGCCTGTGCTTAATTAGGATGTAGTCTCTAACCTGCATGCCCTTGCTTGACCTTTGAACTTTGCAGAACCACGAGAAAATCTTTGGACAGCAGACATGGACAAACGTGTGTATGAAACGATCGGCTTTGGTCGAGAAAAGTGCATCCTTAAAACGGGTGACCTGGTAGTGTTATTGAGTGGTTGGCAAGCAGGGAGTGGCAATACCAACACGATCCGTATACTGACAATGTCGGACGGAGAGAACACGCCCATTCACCATTGTCTACCCAACACCACCCATACTGATTAAACATCACCAACCACCTTACTGAAGTGCCCTGAACATTTTGAACATTTTACCTGTGATAGTCAGTGCCATACAATTCTGTGATACAACATACCTGTATTCCCTCAGTAATTAGTATTGGAGTTCTCCTGTGATACAACATACCTGTATTCCCTCAGTAATTAGTATTGGAGTTCTCACCCTCCCTCCAGATCCCTATGGAGAACCCCCCAGAACCTACCAGTGCATCGTTCCATAATATGTATACCATTATATACCATTAGTGTTGTATTAGGCAGCTCAAACGGACCTTCCTGTAACGATGAATGCATCAGTGTAAAAATAGGTGTACTATAGCTGTTATTGCAATATTAGACATCAGGGGTGTTTAAAAATCATCTCTCAGGGAGCACTTCTACAGACCTTCTTTAAGATCAAGAAACATGTAAATGTCCATTTTTTCAAATTTTGTTCCACGTCTATTTCAAAATAATTCTCCTAAGCATCCAAGGCACTTGTCTTTTACTTTATAGATTATTTATCTTTACTAGGAAGATGATAATGAAATTAAATGATAGTGTGAGTAACTGATGCTGGAGAGAATTTAATGATAATGTTATTGAGGACCTGCTCCCTTTATGTATTAGGGGCCAAAAAGAGGTGTATCATGGATTGATGTGGAGGGTGCATATTACCACAGTTATGATAGCAAATATTTATTGAAAGTCTATTCAAAGGTGTAATTCCCTTCCCTTTCTATGTGTACACAAAATTGTTTAAAAACCGAGCGACAGAGAAATTTTACAAAATATGGTATACAGAATGGGCTGGACAGACTGGGGTTGTGTATGGAATTTGTTCCTAGTTCATTGTTGATCTCGTCTGTTGTCCTTTTGACCTGTTTATATTGCTGATGATGAATGCAACATGTGCAATATTTATTGAAAATGTTAATGACATTATTTCCTTGGTGTTGTGTTTTGTTGTCACCCATGTGGGTAAGTGAAATGGGCGCTACATCCGTCCGTCCGTCCGTCCGCTGATTACTCCACTACTTGGTTCCTGATCCATCTTATTGGTTTCTGGAATACATGAAAGGGTATTGGCTAAAACCGGTGAATGGATCTAAAGTCTGAAAATAAGCTGACCTGTAAATACTAGTGTTACAGTACAATGACTTTCATTAAAAATAAGAGGTATTCAAGATATGATGATTACTGGGTATTAGGGGAGAGAGTCATAATTGTTAGCATTTGTTTTCTGGCCTCCTTATGTATTTTCAGAGTAATAGCCTTAAACAGAAAACTAGTACCACAGGGAAACATGTCTTAATAGTATACAGAGTTACATGTACAGTAGGTTAAGGTCATTACAAACAGTATACAGGG